TATCCGTAGCCATTTTGAAAACTTTTAAAATATGCAAACTTTACTGCGCTTGCGTATAATAACTTTCCACTTATTTAGTAAGTCTGAACGACCGTGTACTATCGAAATAAAGCATTCGTTGTTAATTTCTTTCACTAAAACTGATTGAAAATAGTTATTAAATAAGTTTGCAATGACTTTTTTTATCAGTAACTGTGTTATAGTTGTCTCTTATTGATTGTATTTTGGATAATGTTCTTTGTTAAGTTTTGACACGAAAAAAATAACTTCGGATTAGTTTTGATTTTATTTGATAGTCGATTTTCATATTTAGTTGTAAATTTTTATATAGATTTTGGTATCATCCTTCTAATCATTTTAAATTCATTTAGTAAAGATTATTTTTAAAATTCATTGCTCTCAGCCCACGCACACATTACGCCTTAATTTGATCATTTTTAAAATATTCTTAGAAATGTTTAAAAAGAGCCAGAAATTTTGTTTTTTTTTGAACCGAAGGTTTCTTAGCTATAAAATATAAAATGATCATCTTTTTTTTTTGTTTTGTTTATTAATAACAAGATATATATGTAGCAGGGGCGAGAAGAAGACTAATATGTCTTATCGCCAAGCCCCTTGATAAAATCCGTAAATATAAAGTTTAATTTAAAAATAGGCATTTCCGTTAACAATATAAAATAAACAAACGTAAAATTGGTAAAGTGATAAATAAAACATTATTAAGGAGCAAAAAGTAAAAAGTAAAAAGAACAACAACGCATATTAAAACAAATAAATTTGAAAAGTCAAAAGTGCATTCAACTCAAGCGTTTCTAATATTAATATACTCCTCGTTTATTTAATCCATCATAAGGATATTTTGCTTTTTTGAAATAGTTTTGTGATAGATCATTTTTTAGTAATAACTGTCTAAGTTGGGCCTTAAACTCTTTATCAATGTAAGAGTTTTAAGTTCAGATGTTAGTATTTTATTCCATGCCTTTGCTCTTCTAATTGAAATTGAAAACTCAGTTGCCGCATAATAACTTATGGGTTGTATGTAGGTGTTACTTGAATGTCTAATTAAGTATTTATTCTGATTAGCTTTGAATAAGAGATCAAAAGTTTTTGGAATAATACTTTTATTAACTTTGAACATAAAAATTAGAAGATGATAAAAATTTATTTGGTAGATATTTAGTAATTAACTTAGTAAATAAAGTTAATTAACTTTATTTAATTAATAAAAATTAATTAACTTAGTAAATAAAGGTTGGGAGGGTGTACTGCGGTTTTTATTAGATATAATACTGATTGCATGTTTTTGTATATTAAAGAGTTTTTTTGATTTATTTTTATTCGTACTACACCATGCAATATTAGCGTAATTAAAATAGGAATGAATAAAAAAATATATAAGAGTTTTAAACAACTTGAATTCAAAAAAGGTTTTGCCCTATAGAGTAGGCCAATGCTACTTAGTATTTTACCTTCAATATATTTTATATGATTTCTCCATGTTACATTTTCGTCGAGGAGTACTCCTAGAAATTTTAATGATACCTCTCTTTTTATTTCGCAATTGTTAATACAAAGATTTGGAAGTTTTAATGGAATTTTGTCTCGTTCATGATAGCGATGAAAAAAAGTATATTTTGTCTTGGTTAAATTTAGAGATAATTGGTTTGCTTTAAATCATTCAGCAAAGTATAGTAGTTCTGTGTTTACAGATTTAAATACTATTTTTATATCATTGTGAGCATAAAATAGATTAGTATCATCTGCAAACAAGATTGCGTCTAATACATTACAAGATTTGCTTAGATCGTTGATATATACTAGAAATAAGAGCGGTCCTAGTATAGATCCTTGTGGTACTCCACAAGCTATATTTATGTTGTTAGTTTTTCCGTAATTATGAGAAATATATTGCTGCTTATTTGACAGATAGCTTTTAAACCATTTAAGGTTCGAGTGTTTAATACTTTTTTAATTTGGTTAATAAAATATGATGGTTTACAGTGTCAAAAGCCTTGCTGAGACCAAAAAATCTTTATTAAAAATTTTTTGTAGCCTTCGTCCATAGTACTATTATCTGAAATAAAACTCCAATCAACATTAGAAAAGGCTAGATTTAGTTTTTCATAATCATTATAGTGTTGCTATGATCATCATAGTGTTGCTATTAAATAATTTGACTGTCGACTAAATCGACAAATATGTTTTCTAAAGTAAACTAAAATCGACTAATACATATTTGAAATCGACAATTAGTCGAAGTATGGGAATAATTAAAATAAGTAGTAATAAAAATTATAAACTAATTTATATTTCTTTTCTATTTTTTAACATAATATTATTTAAATGATAGTGGAGCAAAACAATATAAGAGAAGGGCTGCTTCGACAACGGGACAATGTATTTCCAGACCCCAATGATTTAGAGACCGCCTTTAATACTTGCTATAACTGTGTCTTAAAATGACTTTTAATTTGAACCTCTTTTCCAGCGAAAATCCTTCGGGGGTATGGTAGTATGTATCTGTACATTAGAATTGGTTTTAAAATCTTTCATCATCGTCCGTGAAAGAAAAATCGATTTGAAAATTTTGATCTTTAGGCCTATTGACAAGATTATTAATCAAATAAAATAAAACATTTTTTACATAAAAATTGTATATTTTTGTCACATAAGTTACAATAAAGATAAGCAACTTGTTTACGTGAGTTCCTATGCGCTTTATTGATTTTAAAATTCCGGGAAAGGCTTGCAAACAGTTTCATTGTGCCTTTTGAGCAAAATACAGTGCAAAACTATTTAAAATGCCGAATCGAGCAAAAACTCATAATGGCAACAGAAAAACTTTCTGTTTTCTCTGTTTGAAAAAAAATAATAGGCAACTGACTAACTTTATGATTAAACGCTGTCAAGAGGTTTTTGGTAAAGTATTAACTTTGATGATCAAAGAGTCCCAATAGGTATCTGCAAAAACTGTAGGCCTTAGAAAAGGAGACAATGGTGAAGATGCTCAACTTCCCTGACTGCTACCAAAACATGAAAATTTGTTCTGCAACAAGAGAACCCTAATGTGATTGCGTGATTTGTTATGCAGGAAAAGCCAAGTTTGAAACCCCTCAGCCGATTGGAACAACAAACACAACCAGTCGAAAGAACAGCCAGTTGTTGAGAAACGTTCAGCATGGATTTCGCTGATTCGAAGAGACATTCAACATAATTGTACAAAATGAATGCTTTGACAGAACTTGCTTGAAGTTGCAGCAAAAGCCATAAAAGCAGTAGAAAAAATAGCTCCTTTTGTTGTAGCTAACAAGCTATAAAAATATAGCTAACAAGCTATAACAATATAGCTAACAAGCTATATCAATAGAGCTAACAAGCTATAACAATATAGCTAACAAGCCATAACATAAAACTCCTTTTGTTATAGCTAACAAGGATCCTTTACCCCATGGCGCAGTGCGTACAAGTCAAGAAATAGGAAGACATTTTCCAGTTACTCCAGCTAAAAAGTATTTTCTTTTTGTCATATATGATTAATATGCTTTTATTTTAGTGACTCTTTTATTACAACAAAAAAACGTTATAACATGAGAAACTGTTTATGTTGATGTAAACTCTTTTTCCATTAAGACAAAGAGAACTTTTCCCAGCATCTACCTTGACTGCTCAACACCTTCTACAAGTTCAAAACCAGACTGGACTTTCAAACATTTAACTAAGTAGCTCCCCAGCGAGTAGTTAAAAAAAACTTCAGGGTTTTTAAGTATCTTGGAAATTTTAGTCTCTTGGAAAGCATCTTTCTGAATTGTTTGTCACCTCAAATTTCATAAACATACAAAAATTTATTAGAAAATAATCCAAACGTCTATTGGTGTACTACAAAAATGTTGATGCTCTACTTTAGTTCAGATCAGAGGTCCGAAGTCAAATGAACTTATCAAAGTGGGTATTGATGGAGGATGGGGGGTTCCTGAAAGTGTCTGTAAGGGTTTTTGACTTAGAACCAAATGCCTCTCCCCGATTAAGAAACCTCTTTTCAAGGACTAATAATAATGCCTATAATCTAAATTTTGAGGAATAAACATGCCAATTGAATAGTAAATTAATAGATACTTATTAATTAGCAGTTTAATTTAATTAGCTCTTTTAACTTAATTTAATTAGCACTAGGAGAAAATTGAATAGTTATCAAAATAATTTTAACCAAACAGTATTAAACAGTATTACATGTAAGAGCTTTATTCATCTTTAGCAATGCTTATATATATATATATATATATATATATATATATATATATATATATATATATATATATATATATATATATATATATATATATATATATATATATATATATATATATATTTGCTGTCCCCTTTATTACGCAGTTAATTATTTTAAATATTCTTTAATGCTCTATATTTTATTTATAAAATAGTTTATTACTTTAATTAAGAACACAGTTATGATTGTTTTACGTGATTTTGTCCACCGTAAAAAATACCTGCTTTAACAAATAAATAAAAATAGAAATGATTTTTTATTACGAGTTTCGAGTATATAGTACATTAAACATAATCTTAACAAAATTTTTCTTGGCATACAATTACAGATATAAAGAGAATAACTTTTTATTTACAATATATTTTTACTATAATGCATACATACATAACAATATGCTTAATGCATGCATATATAATAAAAAACGTTAGACATTAAATAATAAATACTTAAATATAAGTATAATCAAAGTATATATAAACAAATGTAAAAATATTTAAAGCAATTGTTCCATAGGATAAATTTTTGATGAACTCTTTGATCTGATCATAAAAGATTTCTTCAATATTTTAAACAATAACAAGGCTAAGCTAAGATTGTTTAGCAATCAAATATACTGACGCTAACAAAGAAACCATTAAATAGTATTCTAAACATATGTGAAGTTTTTATTAACTTATACTATTATTTGACATTTTGTAAGTAATAAGACACGAAACAAACAAAAATGAACATTTTAAATAATAAAAAAAAAATTACAAAAAAAATAATAAGTTTGTTGTAATTTCAGATGTCATTTCTTAATCAATTATTATTGCTAAATGTTTATACTTCCATTCTTTATTGAAGTTGTTGGTGATTGAGACTGAGTGTTCTCTAATGATACTTGATCCGCGTTAGAACCATTATTATTTTGATTCTCAATAATATTCAAAAGTTGAACCATTGTTTCTCGTCGCTTAACCTTAAGTTTATCCATAGCTTCTAGCTTTAGTAACAAGCGATCAACTTTCGAAAGAATAGTACCAACACTATGCTCAATACGATCAACACGACGTGCCAAACTTATAAAAATATAAAAAATATTTATTGAGTGAAAACAAGTGGTTTTGTATTTCCTTTTTTATTAAAACCTAAAAGTGTTACTTTAATCCAGCTCAATTTGACTTATACTTAAAAAAATATATATTTTTAAACTTTCCTTTATTCCAGCTAAATTTGGGTTTGCTTATTACAAACTTAAAAAAAAAATTATATTTTTTAATCTTAAATTTAGTAAACTTGTCAAAAATACTGCTGCAACTTGAACAATTTGATTAAACCTCTTCATTTTTATTAATCATTAAGACTTGAATTGATTTTTTTTTGTACTTGTCTATTTTATATTATTTACTTATTACAATTACATTTTCATATTTGTCTATTATTATTATACTCTATAATTTACTATTATTGTATTTTAATGTTATAATTTGTCTACTCTGAACTTTACGAATTAACAGAAACTCAGCTGAAAGCTATAAATTTATATAACAACAAAAAAATAATGCAACATACATAGTGTACTCGTTGTATGTAACAAGCTTTTTGTTACTTGATTGGGCACTTTCACTTCTCAAAGAATATTCGCTGTTGTCATTGTCTTCGTCAATCATATTTTCAGTATCAGAATGTATATCCATATCATTTAACATCAACTGACTCTGAATGACTTGATGTTTAGCTTTTGACACTTCTTCTATCTCGTTGTTTATTTTTTTCTAAATATTTATACATATATATATATATATATATATTATATATATATATATATATATATATATATATATATATATATATATATATATATATATATATATGCACATATACAGGGGCTATTCTAGAACGTTTTCGACAGCGTCGACCGTATTTGGGCGCCGATTTAGCGCCACCCAAATTAAAATTCGAGGACCTTTTATTTTTTTTAGGTTTTCGCTGAAAATATTTTTTTCGCGAAAAAAAAACGACGATTTACCGTCAAAGTCCGCTGAAACGAGGATGTACCGCCTCTAGAATACTTTCAAGAAATGTTAAATTCAGTTGTATTATTTAGCATGCAAAAGCTAAAGCATGTAGGGCCGTATTCTTATCTCGTTTTTTTTTTCTTACTACATTAATAAAAAAATTCTTTAAAAATATAATTTTTTTAACAGTTTAATTTTAGCATTAGTTTTATTTAAACAAATTTAAATAAGTTTTTTTCATTTCTTTACTTAGAAATATTGTAATGTAATTTCAGATAAAAGTTCCATTAATCTTAATGGAGAGATGTGTATGACTGCAAGTCTATAATTTTTTTTCAAAATTAAATTCACACAGCATGAAGTCGTAATGCCTACATTTTGACATCTCCAAACAAGATAGAGTAACAAAATAAGTTTAATATTTTATTACTACGAAAAGTACTTTTAATGGTTCATTTTATCTAACATTAGGTAAAAAAAAGTAATAGGTCTAGACCAATTTTATTTTTTTAAATTTTGAAAAAAAAAAAAAAAAGTAAAAAAATTGCCATTTTTTACTTTCCAGAAATGCATTTCAGTGATATTTTAAATGGCCTTTGCTTTTTTCGATTTGATCACCTATTATTGTTCGTTTTTAGTTAATTGTGTCTGTGTTGATAAGCCTAACATAAGTTTTGGACCCATTTGATGCTACAAAAAAAAACTTCTGCATTTAAGACTACCATTTTACGAGATTAAATGAGATTTTACGAGATTACTACTGCAAACATGTTAATTGTTGACTGTGGCCAATATGCAGACTGGACAGCGTTCTCATAACCAGGTATAATTTTATAAATAATCAAAATGTATCAAAATTTGATCTGATTTAGCGTCATTTTTTTGATTATAATATTTCTGTGACTAGTGCTTTTTAATGAGATGATGTAATTGAGATGTAAATTCGGATAAGTAGCAACAGAAAAACTTATAAATATTGGTTATGGCATGGTTATGTTGACTGAATACGCAAAGATATTCATCCTTTATCCATAGTTATAAGGGATTAATGTATCAATGACTCCAATTTTTGGTGCAGAAATTTTAAATAATTTATCCTTACAACACAATTAACAAATCATTACCCATCAGTTATACGTGTTCTCTATAAGGTTTTCAAAACTGTCCCTTTGCTTTGGACCTGCTTTATTGCATTTGGACTGAATCATTGCCACTTTTTTAAACAGCATATATAAATACATTTTTAAAAGTTGTAGTGATCTTTCGCAATATTTTGTGATGTTTCGCAATGAATTTCTTTTCTTAATTTAGAACTAGTTCTAATATGTTAGAACTGTTAAAAAAAAAATATTTTAAACATTTATAATCACTGTCAAAGTCTTTTAAAGCATCCTATAGATATCAGCTGTTAGCTAATCCAAAACTTATAAACATTACTATCATCAATTTTGGTGTTGCAGTTACAGGAAAAAACAACAATAATTGCTGATGGAAAAATATAATAAATAACAAAACTTTGTTATTTATAAAACTTCTAAGATTTCTCCAAAAGCTGATTTAAATTTTTAAATTTATGGAATGTGCAAGTAGACTGTTTTCAAATAAAAAAAAATTTCATGGGATACAACATTGTGTTTTATATGTCCAGTAAATATCCTGAATAAAAAACAATCTATAATCATAATAAAATGCTCCAAAACTATAAGATTTTTCAGGGGTTTTTAAAATGCTGTTTTAAACAACGTTTGTTAAAGAAGATTAAAATGATTTAGGTATCAGCATGTAAGGAGATAGCAGCTTCAGGAATAAATGATAAAGGTAGAAGTAAGAAAACTTGAAGAGAGTGCCTTACCGTATGAATAAGTTTTAGTTAAGGAAAGAAAATGCTCTAAATAGTTTATATTAGTGAAAAAACGGCATAAATAAAGAAGGCTGATGATGATGATGATGATTATGATAATGATGATTATGATATGATGATGATTATGATATGATGATGATGATGATAATGATGATTATGATATGATGATGATTATGATATGAGGATGATGATGACGACGATGATGATGTTGATGATGATGATGATGATGATGATGATGATGATGATGATGATGGCAATGATGATGATGATGGCAATGATGATTATGATGATCATGTTTACCATAATGATGTTTATATATGCATATATATAAAAAATATAACATGAATTTTAAATAAAAATTTAAAAAAAAAATATTCTTTAGGATGTATACATGTTTATGCAAATTTCAATCCTGGTCACTTCCTACCTGAATATTGAACAAATTTGAAAATTTTTTATACAACCCCAACAATAGAAGCAACTGCTGAAAAAAGTTTTCATAAACTATTTAAATTTTTACTTTCAAAAACTAAATATTATTAGAAATTAGATATCTTTTAATAGAAAGTTAACACTGTTTTTTTAGTTAGGTTTAGTTTATTGTAAGACCTAAATCCCTAATGTTTAGATTACAAACTCATAATCTAATCTACTTTCTATTCAACAAAACCTAACACTATGTTAGACCAAATTTCTATAATATTTTGCCTGAGAGACCTTGACAATTATTTAGTCTAGGTATTAACTATTTAGAATTAATCCAATTACCAAAAGATGATGACAAAATGCTATCTAATAAAAAAAGATAACAAAACTACTTTTGAAAAATCATTAAATGACCCCCTAATTTGTGTCCAGTTTTCTCCTCGTTCTCCTTTCGGTGGTAAAAAAAATATTTGAGAAACCACAAAACATCAATTTTGATAGCAAAGCGTATGGTAAAAAAATTGAGATTGAGGATTGTCTACATCATTAGTGTATGGTAAAAAAGTTTAACTTAGAAGTACTAAAATACTTTAGCAAGTTTGTAAAAAATAAAATTTTTTTATTTTTTTCATGAAATACAAATTCAAAAGATCTAGAAAACTATTGCTGATTTGTTTTACTAATAAAAAAAAAATTTCTGACATTCTTTTTGTTCTTCTTTTTGAACCTGGTTTAAAAATAAATTTTGTTAGAGGAACAACAGGACAGGTTATTTATATAATTGACTATATAACTACTATTAGATAAAGCTGCTTATAATGTGATGTTATTTTAAAAAAAATATCTGAAATGATATTTTCTTTATTTCGAAAACAAAATATTACAAAATTCAAGAAAGTTATTACTTTTGTATTTTTACATTAATTGTAAATAGTTATTATATTTGCAAATTAAGGAATATTTATAACTGGTGATAAGAAGTTATATATGAAAAACTGATAGTCCAAATTGAGACAAAAAATCTATAAAAAAAGCAATTTTAGCTGTGAAAATGCAAAAATTTTCCTTACTTTAGTTGTAAGTTACTTTTTGGGATGTTTAATTGTGATTAGATGAAATTAGATGCACATTAGATGTTAATAGAGATGTATTTTATATTGGTATTGAGAATTTTATGCCTGAATATGTTTAAATCATAGAAAGTTTACATTTTTAAAATTTTGATCCTTGTTCCATTTTTGATCCTTGTTCCATTTTTGATCCTTGTTCCATTTTTGATCCTTGTTCCATTTTTGATCCTTGTTCCATTTTTGATCCTTGTTCCATTTTTGATCCTTGTTCCATTTTTGATCCTTGTTCCATTTTTGATCCTTGTTCCATTTTTGATCCTTGTTCCATTTTTGATCCTTGTTCCATTTTTGATCCTTGTTCCATTTTTGATCCTTGTTCCATTTTTGATCCTTGTTCCATTTTTGATCCTTGTTCCATTTTTGATCCTTGTTCCATTTTTGATCCTTGTTCCAATTTGCCTTTAAAAATCTTAAAGTTCAAAATCAACTTCCATATAAAAACTATTATTTTCATGCCTGAGAGGGGTGTTTTGATTGCATGGTTTTAATTTGAACAATTTAATTAATTAACAATTTAATTAATTAACAATTGAATTAATCAACAATTTAATTAATTAACAACTTCATTAACTAACAATTTCATTAATTTACAATTTCATTAATTAACAATTTCATTAATTAACAATTTCATTAATTTAAAATTTCATTAATTAACAATTTTATTAATTAACAATTGAATTAATCAAAAATTTAGTTAATTAACAATGTAATTATTATAAAATGCAAAAATTTTCCTTACTTTAGTTGTAAGTTACTTTTTGGGATGTTTAATTGTGATTAGATGAAATTAGATGCACATTAGATGTTAATAGAGATGTATTTTATATTGGTATTGAGAATTTTATGCCTGAATATGTTTAAATCATAGAAAGTTTACATTTTTAAAATTTTGATCCTTGTTCCATTTTTGATCCTTGTTCCATTTTTGATCCTTGTTCCATTTTTGATCATTGTTCCATTTTTGATCCTTGTTCCATTTTTGATCCTTGTTCCATTTTTGATCCTTGTTCCATTTTTGATCCTTGTTCCATTTTTGATCCTTGTTCCATTTTTGATCCTTTTGCCTTTATAAATAGTATCTTAAAATCAACTTCCATATAAAAACTATTATTTTCATGCCTGAGAGGGTGTTTTGATTGCATGGTTTTAATTTGAACAATTTAATTAATTAACAATTTAATTAATTAACAATTGAATTAATCAACAATTTAGTTAATTAACAACTTCATTAACTAACAATTTCATTAATTTACAATTTCATTAATTAACAATTTCATTAATTTACAATTTCATTAATTAACAATTTTATTAATTAACAATTTCATTAATTAACAATTTTATTAATTAACAATTGAATTAATCAACAATTTAGTTAATTAACAATGTAATTATTAATCAGTTAACAATTATAGAAACCAACAAGTTTAACAAAGTTTTGACTTCAAGTTTTAGCATAAAGATTTTAATTTATTGTTGGAAAACAAACTATTTAGCTAATACATTGTGAATTTGAAAAATCTAATTTATTTAAAAAACTATTTGATACAGACTTGAGAATTCCTCATAATGCTCTTTTAAATAAACCCATGTGTTGTATCAAATTTTATAATTAATTTTAAACATTCACTGCCCTTTGTGACATAAACCCAAACACAACAGATGCTTGCTTTCATGTTTTAAAAAATTATATTACAGATGGTTCTCATGTGGGTGATCATATGCAATATCATATTAGAGAATAGCATACATTTTACTTCTCTAGTCAAATTGTAAAATGTTGCAAAATACTTTCAGACAGTAGAGCTATGTGATGGCATGTCATTTTTAGGTACTTGATTGTTAAAGGTTAAAATAAATGAAATAAAAATGAGATATATAATCTCAGGAGAAGAGTTTCTCTTCTTTACTAATGACAATTGCATACATAATATAATTGCTAATAAAAATTAATTTTTCTATTTTTGTTTTCATAAGTATAAACTAAAAGAATTATTTTCAAGAATAACACACAATGACAGCATTTACTAGAATGAATAAGGTACTATGACAATACTTGTTAAATCAGTAACTAATAAATATTAAAAACCAACAAGTAGTAGACCAAAAGAACTTTTTTTTTTTTAATTGTTTATTTACAAACTTTATTCTATGTAAAGTGTTGCTGTTGCATTGCTTCTAGCAACTAAAATAAAAGTTTTCAAAAAAATAAAATTTTTTATTTTAATTTACAAAAGTAATACAACACTCTGTTTTTTTTTCTAAATGTGTAAGATTTGCAGATTACTAGCTTTATTAACTTTATTAAACTGTAAAAAACTGGTATTTTGATGCAATTCAGTATTGAAAAATTTATTTCAACGTCAGTATCTAATACCGGTTTTAAAAAACTGTGGAAACACTACGTCAAAAAAAACTTTTATATTGGTTAAAGTAATAAAGAAAAGCATAAAAAAAACATAAACCTTTTGTTGTTCAAGGTCAATCATCATTTTTCCACGCTCTTCTGAATTAAGTACAAAATCCCTATCCATATCATATTTAGCAAAAACAGCTTCTATTTCTGCATCGGCATAACCACGTCTAATATATATTTAAATTTTTTAAAAATTTGTATAAAACAACAAACAACATTAAATAAAGTTGGATACTATTTAAAACAAAACAAAAAAAAAAACTACTAATCAAATATGAAATACAATCTTATTAAATAAGTATAAAATTAAATAAGCATACAACTTAAGTTCTGATCTCCATTCATCAAAACTCAAATTATCTTGTTTCTTATCAGAACTTTTGAGCGCTTCCTGAATGTCAACGATTCTCACTTTTTTTATGGATAACTTATTTATCAGTTTATTGTACCCTTTTTTAAAGTAATCAACCATCTGAAACTCATCTTCTTGATTTGCTAGTTCTGATTTTACTTCTGCATAAGAATCATTGATGATTGCTAAAAACATATTGAATAAAACAAAGAATACAAAGAACACAAAGGTAACAAAGTATATTGGGCCTAGTATCGGATTTGTATTTTTAAGATCAGAAAAGGTAAAATCTCCAAGAATGATGCGAAACAACGTATATCTGAAACAAAAAACATTATACAATAAACTTTAAGTAAATAAAAACCTTGGAGAGACAAACTTTTAAAAAAAAACCTGAAACCACCTACATGCAATCAATAATTGTATTATAATCATTCAACTTGGAACCAAATAGGAGGTTCCCTAGTTGAGCATATGCTAAGAAAACTATCATAAACATAACTGCAAACACTGCTATGTCTTTGGCACAACGAGCTAAAGTTGACTGCAACTGCGACATCGTCTTGTTGAACTTAATGTATTTGAAGATCTGGTAATAATAAAAACTTTAAATAGAAACTGGTACAAAATGTCATCAAATTATTTGGTATATACAAATTTAACAGTTAACAAATAAAACAAATAAAACTAATAATAATAATCTTTATATTTTGTGTTTAGTTCGCTGGATTTTTTTTTTAGTTCACTGGATTTCTAAATCTAGATCTACTTTTTAAATTCTATATAGGTAATACTCAGTTTAAAATTGCAGTTTATTTCAGTTCTTTATAATTTTTTTTTTAAATATGAAATCTTTATTTAATGACAAATGTACATATGAGATTAAGATTTATATGAATACTTCTTTTTACGGTAATCATTCAAAACCAAAAATCATTTAACTTTTTTTTTTTTTTTTTGTAAATCTTACAGTATCTATGAACAGTGCCATCAGCAGGCAACAAGAATGAGAAAATTACCAAAACAAATTCTTATTGTCTGATGAAAAGACTGTCCATAAGTCATGTACTAATAAGAACTGAAAAAAACAGCTGCCACTTATAAACAATAACCAAAGTACATGTTCAAGATCATTGTAAACAACTTTTTATCATGCTTTAGTATTATTCAGGGTGGCCACTCAAATTTGAAAATGAAAATCTATGACTTTACCATGACTTTTCCATAACATTTTCATGACTATTCATAAACTTTTATAATAAATCACTTGAGTAAATTATTCACTACTTGCCATGCACTAAGCATTTGCAACTTGGTCATTAGAAAACATGTAAACCAAAAACTAATTGGTAGAGATCGTGTCTGAAAAAAACTCTTTTTCTTTTACTTCTTTGATAACTTGCACTACAAAAATATTTTTTTCAAAAAAGACTTAAACTAGACATTCTAGTACTTTTCTTTGCATCCTAAAAATATCACAAGTAGAAAAAAATAAAGATCATTTAAAAAAGTTCCATAAATTTTTCATGACTTTCAATGAAAATTTAAGAACTCCATGACTTTTTCCATGACCAAATAAAATTCCATGACATTTCCATGATTTCCATGAGCAGTGGCCACCCTGTTTATTCTGAAAAAATTTCCAAATTTCTGTTTTTTATTTTGTTATACAAAATCAAATGAAAATTAAAAATTTTTTAAGCTAAAAAAAATAAACACAAAAGCTATTAACCTTTATCCATGCAATAAAAACTCCAACTGCAACAAAATCATTAAATCGACACTGCCAATCACTTAAAAAATCAAAGTTAGCATATTGTTCTTGATTTACTAACAAATCCTCTAACAATTTGTTCACTATTATTGTGCGGTAAATATTAAACACAATGCAAAATATTCCAATGCAAAGAACAAGGACATCAAAAATGCTCCACACATCAAAAAAATACGCCAACTTATGCTTCTTAATTTCAAGCAATTCTTCAATTAAATAATATAGAATAAATATCACAAATATCACTTCACAACCCATTACAAAGTAATCCATATTTGTAACATAGCGCAGTAACTTCAATGGTCTATAAAGAGCAGACGTCACGCAACCCCCTGTTGGTGGAAACTCAAACACTAAACTAAAATAGTATAAATTTTTATTTATTTTTATTACATTTTATAATATTTAATTTTATAAGAAAAATAAAATCACCTACGTGATAACGCAAAATAAGTTGATATTGGCATTGTAAACTGTAAAATCAATAAAAACAGCTCTTGTGCCTCGATCAAGCCAAAGATTATGCTAAAATAAAAATAATTAGATGAAATTTTATTTTCATCTTTTGAAAGATTAATATTACCATTTTTTATCTTGCTTTTTAATCTACACCACAATGACAATTTATTACCTAATGATGATCAATTATATTCAGCTGAATAATTTTAAATATAACCTTCAAAAACTGATTAAAAAAAGTTGTTTCTTCATGCAGTTATGGTTATAGCCCTTTCACCCATTATGGATCTACACATTATGGAACTACAGAAGAATACACAAGACATTTTAAAAGCTATTTTCAGACAACTTTATTTGATGAACAAATTTGATAAAAAAGATATTATTTATTAATATAAGATATCAAAAAAAGACTGAAAGTGTTTTATATTTCATAAATATAATTATTTATGAGAGAAAAATCAAAAACTAAACCTGGTGAGAAATCTGGAAAAAAAAATAAATTGAGATTTAACGTTGCAAATTAAAACTATATAATTGTGTTTATTACTTGGTTAATTACAAGGATTAAATTTTATTTTATTGTGTCTGTTAACTTTAATTATGCTTTTTTTTCACTTGTCATTAGGTTAGACATGTTTATCTTTGTTTTTGAATAAAGTATAACATTATATATATATATATATATATATATATATATATATATATATATATATATATATATATATATATACATATATATATATATATATATATATATATATATATATATATATATATATATATATATATATATATATATATATATATATATATATATATATATATCAACCTTCGGAATTAGGAAAAATGAGGTCGGTAAATTATTGCTGACCTTAATCTTTTTAAGGTAAGCATCAGGTCAGCAAAAATTATTTGATACAAAGGTCTGACCATAAAACATAGAAAGGAGGTCAGCAATTTTTTGCCTACATTAAACTTTCAGGTCGGCATTGCTAAATGCCGACCTGAAAGAGGGTTGTATATATATATATACAACCTTCTGAGGGTTGTATATATATATATATATATATATATATATATATATATATATATATATATATATATATATATATATATATATATATATATATATATATATATATATATATATATATATATATATATATATACATATATATTTATATATATTTATATATATTTATATATATTTATATATATTTATATATATTTATATATAATATTTATATATATATCATATATGATATTTAATTGAGAAAAAAAAAAATCATAAAACAAAAAAGATACAACAAATTACAGTCTCATTAGGTCTAAATTTTACCTATCTTTACATAATATGTTAAGCCTCAGTTACACAAAAATGCAAACATTTTACATGTAACGTAACAAATTTCATTAATGTTACAATACATATTATAACTTTATAATGTTAACGGATATATATATATATATATATATATATATATATATATATATATATATATATATATATATATATATATATATATATATATATATATATACATATATTATAATGAATATGTCAGAATATATATTAAACAATATCATATTTTGGAAAAATATTCTTTTTTTTTTATTGTACAGATTTATCATGCCATTATTTTACATAAATATGACGAAAAAGAGTATATTTATTTCAATACCAAAACTAAGATCAAAATCCATCTATGGTTTATGGTTCCCTCCAACCTTACACCCCAATTAAGGAGAAAAAAACTCTGGTGACTAGTAGTAAAAATATTCTGATGTAAAATCCCTAATATATATGTGGGTAAAGAGGAGGAACTTGTAAATATTGTATAAAACATTGTAGGAGCTCTCCTGGGTAAGTAATTTATTTACTTTTAATTTTTAAATTGAATAGGCAAACTTTCATAATAACTCAGGGATATCAAATAAAAAAATTTAAAATATTGAGACATTACCTTAAGATTAGATAAAATTTGTGATGATTCGTTTTTATTGTTTGCTAACAGTGAAACATACCCACCACCTCCATATGTTGATATTTGTCCAGAAAAAACTCTACCTTCAAGAGTTGATTCAGATTTATATTTCCAACTAGAAAAAATTGTAAATTACAAATTAAAAATAATATTTGTACAAATTAAAAAAATATTTGTAAATTACAAATTAAAAAAATAATTGTGTGTTTTACTAACAACAATTCGTTCAAAACAATTCATTCAAAAGTTTTCATTATAATATTAAAATATTTAAATTGTATTAAAACTCTGATATATTTAGCAACAGATTGCTTATGTTATAAAGTGCTTTTATGTTTTCATGTCCAATGAAGACATATCCATCATTAAATCTATAATTTGTGTAACTCTTTCCTCTTACAAGTTAACAAAATAAAGAATGATAATTTTCAATATTGCATTTGGATGCAACATTGAAAATTAAAAAACTATTGACAGCTAATTTTTTATGATTTTTAGCTTTTAAATTTTTATTCTGTTGTGTCAAATAAAACACTGTGAGACTTTTATTTGATAATAGTATTTTCAATAAAAATTCTCAATTTTTTTTTCTCCTCAAAGCTCTATCTCCACTATTTTATAGCAGTTTCAAAAATTAACAAGAGGTTATCTTTACAAATTATTTCAAATTAACAAAAAGTTATCTATTACTGATTATTTAAAATTAATAAGAAGAAAAATGAGGTCGGCAATAAATTGCTGATCTCAAACTGTTAGAGGTTGGCATCAGGTCAGCAAAAAAAATTTGACGCAAACAAAATTTGAAAAAAATTGACAAAATTTTAAAAATACTCATGGTTAAAGTGTTAGAGGTCAGCAATTTTTTGCCGAGATCTAACATTTTGAAGTCAGCAGTTAGGTCAGCATTGCCAAATGTTGATCCTAGTTCTGAGGGCTGTAGAGGCAGTGGGTTTCTATAGATCTGTATGAATTTATTCAACATTCAAAAAAACAAAAAAACAATAAGTGTGTGAGGAACAATATGTGTGTGAAGAACAATAAGTGTGCGAAGAACAACAAGAAATGGATAACCTTGAAAAATTTTGAGTTTGTAAAAGAAACTTGAGAAAGCATTAAGCAAATTTTAGAGTTTGATTTGTCTTAAAAGTGTTGCTTTCACACAAACAGTAAACACACCCTATTTCTAGGTCCTTGGTGTCAGGGAAAGTAAGGGCGTTTAAAATGGTTAGATTTAATTCCATTAATTATCAGAAAGCTCTCAGTATTTATTCAAATAAATTAAAACTCTTAGCAACAAAGTTATAAAGGTTGTGTAAGCCTTTCTCTCTGTTAGACCTTCTTGATGAAATATAAAATCTTATATTTTACCAATAATGGAGTTGCTCTTGGAATTACTAACAGGCTGTTTGATCATTTAATAACCTTAGTCAAAGCAGCTCTTGTACTAATTGTGCATTCGCAGACCTCTGAAGCATGGAGAAGAATTCAATTGAAATCAATGTACACATCTTAAACAATGTTTACTTCTAGACCAATTGCTTGAAAAGCAAAATGTTGATTTGAAGGTTGGAAAGCTTATTGCATTTAATGCAGTCAGAAAGGTATGCTTCTGAAATCTTCTTTAGAGATTCTATATTTTATTTTGAGAGTGCATACAAAGTAGGTACCAGCAATTTTTGATATTAAGTTGCTTCAAGCTGGAGTAGAGAGCTAATAAATACTCCTTAACTGATGTCATTTAATTTTAGAAAGTTCATCAAATTATTATTATTATTAATTTTTTTTTGCCATTTTAAATTGTAGATTAAATTTTCAAAATCTTAAGTTAATTATTAGCTATTTTATTTTAAAAGTTTGGCTACAACATAAATAAACCACTTTAAAGACGCCATTTTTTTTAGAATTACAAAGAAATTCATCATAAAAAAGCAACATAAATAAACCGCTTTAAAAACACCTTTTTTTTTTTGCAGAATTACAAAGAAATGCATCATTAAAAAAAAAGTAAAATTAAACAAAACTAAAACATTCCAGTGTTTTATTGATTTTTTTGTATTGTCTTCAAGCTAAAAAAAATGAATGTTTTTTTTTCCCCTAAATTAAAAACAAAATTAATTGAATTATTTTTTTGTTAGTTGCCTATCTAAACCCAAACAAGTTACAACATTTAAAACCATGTTTTTTTTTTATAGTTTATTTACATAAGTTCATCATGGTCAGGTCAGGATAATCGAGATCAATCTTGCTACTGGTATCACGTAACCCAGTACCACCTGCCACAAGCCCTGCTGCCTTGCAGAGTGTGCTCTTCTTATGCAAAGGCTAGGAGAAATAAACTCCAACTAAAAATTCCCCTGCCTTGGGGCTCTTGGTTGAGTAAAGGCTAGAGATGGTGTCTCGATAAAAACACTCATCTTAGGCAGATGTTAACTGCACCCAGCTAAACATCCCCTGCCTTGGGGCTCTTGGTTGAGTAAAGGCTAGAGATGGTGTCTCGATATAAATACTCATCTTGGGCAGATGTTAACTGCATCCTGCTACTGTCTTGTAGAAGGCCTCCTAGGCAAAGACTTTAGGGGTAAGCAGAAAAATTCTGCTAACCAGCCTCGAACCCCTTCTTCATCTATTAGGCTGGCGTAGATGTAACCTGTGTTACATTGTTTCCTGCCTAGGATGATGAATGCTGGATCTCCTTGACTCTACTCATAGAATTTTGCTTATGCCTCCTTGATAATGGCTATGCAACACTTCCTGTTATCTCCAAATGAGGGTACAGCTCTAAAACTCAGTTTAATGGTTCTGAGGCCGGCTGGTAGTAAGGTTTCCCGAACTCTGTGGTAGCTCTCAGAGAGGCTGATTCCATCAACAGCTGCAAAATATCAGAGTATTAACAGTGCCATGTTGCACATGGATGGTGTCCCTGTTAATGCTTTTGGTGTGCATTGTCAAGGCCACATAAGGAGCCCTATGTCACGGCTTAGGGTTAATTAACAGGACTGAGACAACTGCATAGCTCATTGATTAGGAGGCTGTGTTCTATCTATGAATGAGTCAAGTTCTTATTAAACCCAAATCATGACCAAAGTAACCAAAAATTTAAAATCTAAAAAACCATCCCCACCACCTAAATATTTTAATATATCTTTTACAAATATTCGCGGTCTACGAAGCAACTTTCCATCAGTTGGGTCTTACCTCCTGCAAAATTCACCAGACTTGCTTGCACTCAGCGAAACAAATTTAAATTTTGCAACTCCTTCTTCAGATGTCAGTGCTGATGGCTACTATCCTTTGATTCGTAAAGACTCAAATAGTCACATGCTAGGTTTAGGGGTATACATACACATTAGTTCCCCTATTTGTTGTGAAATCAGGTTCAAATCAGGTTTTGACCATTCTTTTATGTGCTTTCGCCTAGCACCTCTTCACTCTATCACCTTTCTCTTTGTTCTTTATCGTTCTCCTTCTTCCCATGATTGCACTCTTTTAGATGTTATCTCTGATCAAATTGACCATGCCCTCTCTCTTTACCCCTCTGCCAATATTGTTGTTGTTGGTGATTTTAATGCCAATCACACTGAATGGCTTGGCTCTAACACCACTGATCCTGCTGGCACTAAAGCCTTTAACTTCTGCGTTTCTCAATCTCTTACTCAGATAGTTAACTTTGTGACTTGTTTTCCTGACAACCCTAATCATTTACCTTCACTCCTCGACTTATGTCTTGTCTCTGACCCTAGCTTATGTTCAGTTTCTCCCTTTTCTCCCTTAGGTGGTTCTGACCATGCAATGATCTCTATAAATCTTTCTTCTCGTACTTCTTTTTTGAGCTCACCTTATCATCGCACCACCTACTACTACCCTAAAGCTGACTGGGATTCCTTTCGTGATTTTCTTCGTGATGGTCCTTGGGCTGATGTTTTTTCTCTCTCAGCTGACAAATGCGCCTCCTACGTAACCTCCTGGATTCAGGCTGGAATGGAAGTTTTTTTTCCTTCGCGTTGGTTTCAAGTCAAGCCTCATTCTACTCCATGGTTTTCTCCTTCTTGTGCGGCTGCTATATCTAATCGTAATCATTTTTTCATCTTTTTCAAAAGAACAACTCTCTTGAGAACAAACGGCTATTTATTATTGCAAGAAATCGATGTAAAAAGGTGCTTTCTGATGCTAAACTCCATTATTCTCAGTTCACTAAATCTCGCATCTTATCGCAGAAGTTAGGCTCTAAAGACTTTTGGAAAATCTTCAACAGCATTATTAACAAGGCTAGATCTAACATTCCATCTCTCATTCATGGGACTGATCTTATTACCTCTCCCAAGGATAAGGCAGAACTATTTGCAAAGAACTTTTCTTCTAATTCCACTCTTGAATCTTATGGACATTCTCTTCCTTCCATTCCAGTCAAACAGGTTGACCCATTGTTAGACATTTAAATCACTCCGGCTTCTGTTGCTAAAGTCATATCTCAATTAAACTCGTCTACAGCTTGTGGTCCAGACAACATTCCTGTCACAGTCTTGCAGAATTGCTCTCCAGAACTTTCTTCAATTCTCTCTAAACTATTTAACAAGTGTTTGATCGAGTCTTGTTTTCCTGCTTGTTGGAAAATGGTATCTGTAGTTCCAATATTCAAAAACTCTGGAGAAAATTCTGACCCCTCCAATTATCGTCCGATCAGTCTTCTTTCTGTTATTAGCAAGGTCTTTGAGTCTTTGATCAACAAATTCCTCACATCTCATCTTGAGTCAAATAAACTGCTGTCAGATAATCAATACGGTTTTCGATCCTCTCGCTCTACGGCCGACTTGCTAACTGCTGTAACTGAAAGATTTTATTGTGCATTAGATGGAGGCGGTGAGGCTAGGGCTATTGCTCTCGACATATCTAAAGCTTTCAACAAAGTTTGACATGCTGGTCTTCTCCATAAGCTTGCTTCATATGGTGTTTCTGGGAAAGTTTTTGAGATTATCAAATCATTTCTTTCTGACCGGTTTATTATTCTGACCGGCTGGTTCTTCTAACGATTCACTTTCTCTTCTTGACAAGGTCCAAAAACGCATTGTAAATGTTGTTGGACCTGGACTATCTGCTAAGCTTGAACCTCTTTCCCATCGTCGTAAAGTTGCATCTCTTTCTCTTTTCTACAGATACTATCATGGTCACTGCTCAAAGGAGTTATCATCTCTAGTTCCATCAACTAAAATTCATTTCATTTTACTCGTCATTCAGCTAAGTCTCATTCGTTTACTGTATCTGTCCCTGCATGCTCTAAAAACTTTTATTCATCTAGTTTTTTTCCCCGCACTTCAATTCTTTGGAACTCTCTCCCATCTTCATGTTTTCCTGACTCAAACAACCTTCAACTTTTCAAGTCTTCTGTCAACCGTTTCCTTGCTCTATAACTCTGTTCTTTTTTTTTTCCTAGTAACTCCCAACTTAATAGTGGTTGCTTGCAGCCTTGTTGGGAGTGAATGCAAATAAAAAAAAAATTATCTAATAATTAAAAAAAAACTTTTTTAAACAATTAATATTTAATATTTAATTAAACAATTTTAAAACTCAAAATTTTATAATTGATAAAATTAAAAAATAATAAAATTCAAAAAATTATTATGGAAAAGATATTTTATAATAGTTTAGTTTATTCAGTAAACAAATTTTACAAAAAATGTTATAAAATTTGACAGAGCTCGGTGCCAGGCCTTCCTATGCTGACATATCTGATCAATATAGTTATATTATTTGTGAGTGTTCTGATGCTGCAATCTTGACTTGAAAACAGATTTTGAGTTGATGGTGTTGCTAGAAAGTGCATTCCATGATGCACAGACACAATTTGTTAAAAAGTTGAGTCTCTCTATACACTTTTTGACTTGCTGCAGTTGAAGCATAAACTTGTGGTTCCGCAAGTTTATGCTTCAACTTTTGTATGACGCTGATTTGGAAAATAAGTAGCGTTGTGGTACACAGAAATCTACTTGTTTGAGGTTTTGATTGATTTTGAATTGTTCTATAAAATCTCCTCTTTGCCTCCTTGCTTCTAGTCTTGTCAGCCTAAGTGCTTCTAATCTTTGTTTATAACTATGGTGTCTCAAGGAGTCAATTAATTTTGTTGCATGATGTTGAATTTGCTCTAATTTGTTGATATCGCTAATATGGTGTGGTAACCAGGCTTGGATTCCAAACTTTACATGAGGTTGAATATATAAAGTGTATAATATTTTCCAGAGGAATACACAACATCCTCTGAATGCTTTTTTTAGCACACCTAATTTCTAATTTGCTTTTGCTGCTGCTACATCTACTTGTGATTTAAATTTCAAATCATCAGACACAAAAATACCAAGGTCACACTCAACTGTAGTACATTTTAATTGATGACAAAATCCGTCTTGGCCTAACATTATGTAATTATGAGTTGATTTATTTTTTTTTGATTATTACTGATCTCAAGTAGGACTCGTTTTTTACGAACTTACTAAATAGAGATGCCTGAAAAAAATGTCCGACTTAAGTATAGCTTATTTTTATTTGATTCATCATTAAAACAAAAAAAGCACAGTATAACTTGACTGGGGATCAAACACCACTCTCCGTCGCTGCAGACCACAGTATTAATCATTCGACCAACCAAAGAAGTTGTCATTGTGTAATTTAACTTTATTAAAATTAATATTTGCATATATATTTAAAGACGTTTTTTAAATTAGGATCCTGTGCCGCAACAAACAGCTTTTGGGTCATATAAAGTATCTATGGCACCAGGGGGCGGGAGGGGGTCAAATTTGAAAATTTTTGGTGTACGTACTTTATGGACGACCCTTAACGTATTTTTGCAGTAGTTTACCATTTTTGGCTGGTGATTTTCTGAAAAGTTTTACAACTGTCTGAATTTTTGTAATTAAAGAATTTAGCTCTGCGGTTTGAAGAACTAGTTAGTCAATATCTTTGTGGTTTATTTCAAAATTTTCAAGTTCAATTTCCAAATAATTAGAATCAATATTAAGTAATACATTATCATCATGTTCATTAATATCTTGTACATCTGTTGACCTAATATTATAAAGTACTTTAATGATTGCCAATTGTATGCCATGTACAATACATAACTGATGGTTTTAATTAAGTAACATTACCGTTCTCTTGTTAACTCTGTCTGATGTTATGCATGTTCATCTCTGTCTGATGTTATGCACACTATATTTGACAAAGTTATATTAAACTCTTTAAGCTTCTTTTCATATAGTTCTGTGCATACTTTTGATAAAAGAAGTAGTTTTCGATGCTATTGCAACTTTGCTTGTATATTTCTTTTAACATATAAATTAGAGTCGTTAAGTTTACTCAAGCATTAAATTTAAACAAAAGAATGCTTTACACTTTTATATTTTTAATTTTTAATCTATTGACAAGAAAATAAATAACTTATTTAATATTTATAGTACATTCTTTATTAGATAAAAATAGTCAGCAACTAGAAATTAAAATAATCCTTTCATAGCAATAAGCTTGATTTAACGGTAAATTACAAAAATTACCGGTTAAAAACTTGATCCAAATTTAGGTATTTAACTGGTTAACCGGTAAGCCAATAACCGGTATTACAATTCCTAAGTATAATGTAGTAAACTTTAAAGTAGCATAACGAACTAGACTTCAAGTAGAATCATATATTTGGTTTCAAAATAGCATAATGAAGTAGGTTTCAAAATAAAATAAATAAGTAGCTTTGAAAATAGCATTATGTAGTAAGTTTCAAAGTAGCATAATAAAGTAAATTTCAAAAGAGAATGATGTAGTTGGTTTTAAAACAGCATAATAAAGTAGGTTTCAGAGTAGCATAAATAAGTAAGTTTCAAAGTAGCATAAATAAGTAAGTTTCAAAGTAGCATAAATAAGTAAGTTTCAAAGTAGCATAAATAAGTAAGTTTCAAAGTAGCATAAAGAATTAGGTTTCAAAATAGCATAATATTTTTTTTTAATCTTAAAACTTTTATGATTCTTCTCTAAAAATATTATCAAGTTAACATGCAAGTCCTACAGTAGTTTATGGTTTTTAAAGTCAACAAGTTTTATTAACTTTTTTCTGACCAATTATCAAGGATTGCAGCAAAAACATTTGATAAGATGTTTTTTAACTGCTCTAAATAATATAATGTTTCTGAAACTCAAAAATACTATTTTCATTATCAAAATATTTATACTTACTAAGCAAATAAAAAGATTTATTCTTACATAATATCATTTTCCAAACCAAAATCATCTTTAGATTCACTCTCCGGCGAATAAGAAGCAAAACATTTTGAAACATAATTTCTGAAGAACTTATGAACTCTAAATTTACATAAATATTTTTATGTAAATGTTATGTAAATTTAGATACAAAAAAAGAAAATAACTTTGTTATTTTACAATAATATATATATATATATATATATATATATATATATATATATATATATATATATATATATATATATATATATATATATATATATATATATATATATATATATCAGCATATACTCATTCATATTTAAAAATCAGCATTAGTTAATATTAGGAATAAAACTTTATATATTTGTAAATAAATTTTTTTTTTATTTTTTTTTTTAATTCACCTCCTCAAGGCCGAGAAGGCCACTACAGACGAGGAGGCTACTTATTTGTGGTTATAACCCTCTCTCAAATCTATAACTCTGAAACACGAACCTTGATGAACAAGGCCGTTGCGCGGAGAAACGAGTTGAGAGCGGTACTACCAGGGACGTGGTGGGGATCGAACTCGGAACCACTCGTTTATGAAGCGAGCGCTCAACCACTACACGACTACCGCATTTAAATATCACAAAAAAATAGTACCGCATTTAAATATCACAAAAAAATAGTATAACATAATAATATTAATAAATAATTAACTTTATTAAATATACATTAAATCAAATTAACTCAATTCAAGTTTAAATTCTAAAAAACCATTCAAAAACTAAAAATAAACTAAATGTTTCTCAGCTTGCAAAATTTAAAGAACTTATGAAATAGAAAAAGCTTCTAACATTGGTTTTTTATTTTATGAATAAAATATAAATGCAAATTTATAAATGTATATAACTTACAAATATTTTAAAAGGTTTTAAATTACTTATGAAAGTTTATAATAGTCTTTTAAAAAATCAAATTTATAATTTACAGGTGTTTAAGTGATAATAATCAAAAATGAAGCAACCTTTTTTTTTTTTTTTTCAACATCTTCGCTTCCAACAAGGCTGCAAGCAACCACTAATTGGTGTTGGAAGTTACTGGAAGAGAAAAGATAAATGTTGTAGAGCAAGATAACGATTGACAGACGACTTTAAAGATTGCAAATTATATGAATCAGGAAAGCAAGATGAAGGAAGCGAATTCCAAAGAACTGACGTTGGAGGAAAAAAACTAGACGAATAAGAGTTTTTGGAGCACTTAGGAACAGTAACAGAAAAAGGATGAGACTTCATTGAATGACGAGTAACACGAGAATGAATTTTTGTAGATGGCACAAGAGACGCTAGCTCTTTAGAGCAGTGCCCATTATAGTATTTGTAGAAAAAAGAAAGAGAAGCATTACGACGACGTGACAGAGGTTGAAGGTTGGCTGCAAGAGTAGGTCCAACTATGTTTACAATGCGTTTTTGCACCTTGTCTAAAAGAGAAAGGGCATCATTAGAAGATCCACCCCAGATATGGCAACAGTATTCCATACAAGGCCGGATTTGAGATTTATAGGGATAGAGTATAGAATCTAGAGTAAGAAAGTGACGAGCTCGATAAAGAGAAGCGACTTTAGCAGATGCTAATTTTGCAACGGATTTGATATAAGGTTTCCAAGAAAGATCAGAAGTAAGAGTTAATCCTAGAAGATGAAGGGTAGGAGACTCATTGAGTACATTACCTATCATAAATATAGGAAGGTCTAAATTATTGCGATAACAATTGGCTGAAAAAAATTGAGTTTTATCTGAATTAAAGTTCACCAGCCACTGTGAACCCCATGCTGTAGCAGAAGTGAGATCCTTTTCAAGCTCAGATGCCCCCTGCAAGCAATCAGAGGGAGTTGGCTTCTTATCGTGACAAGAATAAATGGTAGTATCATCAGCAAACAATGCCACCTTAGATGTGAGAATATCTGGAAGATCGTTAATGTAAATTAAAAAGAGTATAGGGCCAAGGATTGAACCTTGAGGAACCCCTGAGGTTACAATTCAGCTTTGCCTTTAGGTGAGGTGACAAAGTCTGAACCGTACAAAAGAGGTGGAATTACAGACTTGCCCTTATTATTGATACTATTAAAGATTCTCCAGAAGTCACGAGAGCCTAATTTTTGTGATGAAATACGAGATTTCATGATCTGAAAATAGCGGGCTTTGGCATTAGACAAAACCTTTTTACAATGGTTCCTAGCAGTAATAAAGAGACGTCTGTTTTCTGGAGAATTGTTATGCTGATAGATATGGAAGTAATGGTTTCAATTGCAATTCAATGGTAGCAATTGCAGCAGCACAATGTGAGGAAAACCATGGAGAAGAGTGAGGCTTGACCTGGAATTGTCGAGAGGGAATAAAGGATTCCATGCCAGCCTGAATCCACGAAGTTATGTAAGAAGCACAATTGTCAACAGGAAGACAAAAGATTTCTACCCAGGGGCCATCACGAAGAAAATCACAGAAAGAGTCCCAGTCAGTTTTAAGGTAGTTGTAAGACGTACAATGATAGGGGGATTCTGATAGTAAAGAAGAATGAGATAATAGTTTTAGAGAGACCAAACCATGATCAGAAGCACCTAAGGGTGAGTGTGGAGACACTGAGCACTGACTAGGATTAGAAACAAGACATATGTCGAGTAGAGAAGGTAAATGATTCGAGTTGTCTGGAAAGCGAGTTGGAAAGTTGACTATTTGAGTTAGGGATTGAGAAAGGCAAAAGTTGTGGGCCCTAATGCCTGCGGAGTCACTGACACTAGAGCCAACCATTCAGTGTGATGAACATTAAAGTCACCAACAACAACAATATTAGCTAATGGATAAAGAATGAGGGCTTGGTCAATATAATTAGAAATAACATCAAGAAGAGTGCAGTCTTGAGATGAAGGAGAGCGATATAGAACAAAGAGAAACGTGATAGAGTGAAGTGGTGCTAAACGAAAGCACATAAAAGGGTAGTCTGTGGATTCAAACCTAGTTTCCCGACAAATGGGTGAATTTTTACGAATGTAAATACCTAAGCCAAGCATGTGACTATTGGAGTCTTTACGAATTAAAGGAAGATAACCATCAACACTAAGATCACAAGATGAGACAGTTGAACTCAAATTAGTCTCACAAAGAGCAAGTAGGTTTGGTGAACTTTGCAAGAGATAAGACTCAATAGAAGAAAAGTTACTTCGAAGACCACGAATATTGGTGAATGATAGGTTTAGCGAACTTGGTAGTGACTGTGGTTTTTTGTGTTTTATAGTTTTTGTTACTTTATTCATTTTTAATATTGTTAAAGAACTTGACTTGAAACATAGATAGTACTAAGTACACTGTTTTATAGCCAAAGCAATTGTCTCATTTCCACTAATAAACCCTAAGCCGTAACAAAGGGCTCCAATGTGGCCTTGGCAATGCACACCAAAAGTACAAACAGGGACACCATCCATGCGCAACATGGCACTGTTAGTACTCTGATATTTTTCAGCTGTTGATGGAATCAGCCTCTCTGAGAACTACTACAGATTTCGGGAAACCTGACAACCAGCCGGCCTCAGAACCATAAAACTGAGTTTTAGAGCTGTACCCTCATTTGGAGATAATAGAATGAGTTGCCTAGTCATAAAAACAGAATCACAAGCAAAACCCATGCATCGAGTCAAGAAGATCCAGCGTTCCACATCTTAAACTGGAAACAATGTTTTAAAAATACATCTGCGCCAGCCTAATAGATGGAGAAGGGGTGCGAGGCTGGTCAACAGATAGAATCTGTTTACCCCTTAAGTCTTTGCCTAGGAGGCCTTCTACAAGACAGCAGCCGGATGCATTTAACATCTGCCCAAGATGAGTATTTTTATCAAGACACTATCTCTAGCCTTAACTCAACCAAGAGCCCCAAGGCAGGGGGTGTTTTATGTCGGAGTTTGCATCTCCTAGCCTTTACCTAAAAAGGCATATCCTAAAATTTAAAATGAAAATTTTTACAATCAATAATAAAATAAACAAAACTTACAAATCCTTTGTTTAGGTGATTTTTTTATTAACTTAATATTTTTTTAAATTATTGTAATTACTTAAGTTCTTTTTTTTTCAATGTTTAATGTCTATAGTTCCACATGGTTGCATGAATAAATATTCAGCCATCTCTCAAACTTTTATCCTGTTTAATAATAGCTTTTAACATTAATACAATGCTCAGGCAACATCTTTTATAGTATGTGTAATAATAACATGAATTAATAAAACATTGTGTTTGGTATCACACAATTTGTTATTTTGTAAGGTAGTATTTCAACTACCTTACAAAACAACAAATAACTTTGTTATTTTGTAAAAAGCACAGAACCTTCATCAAACAAGTGATAATAGTTTTCTTGACTATTAAATCATGTTTGCAACCATGCAATCTCTAAAAGTGTTGCCATTCAATATTATAAAAATATAAATATTGCAATAATTATAAGCAGTAAACCACTGAGTTTTGTTTGGGCATTCGAGCAATAACCATTACGAGCCATGAGCTGCCACAGAGATATAACATTAAAGACCAGTTGCTTGCTCTAAGCAATCAAAAGCTTATTACTATTTATAAAGAATAGTGTATATAGTTGTAATAACATCCAAGGAAAGCAAACAATATGGATGAAATAACAGCATCGATAAATAACTTATATATCTCCATTCAAAAGTAATAGTTTATTAATTTTAAAATATTCCAAACCATATAAAGGGGAACTTACGAAGCACACCAAACTTTATTAAACGTCTTTGATAAGTAAAAAGCAATAGCTTTTGCACCACTGCTTCTATTTAATGCACGAAAGAACCTGTTATTAAGGTTAAAATATCAACAGCAGAACTAAAAGATCAAAATCAGAACTGATTGCCAGAGAGTAAGTTGTTAGACTCAAGATGAGATATTAAAAGTTTGTTAAAGATACAAACACTTTGTGAATAATAGTGAGATAATTGACTTTGACAATAATAAAATTCATTAAAAACTTAAAAACTTGATTAATCAGTTTTGTTTAATCAAATTATCAGTCTTCTTACCACAGTAAAAAGACAAGCAATCATTAGTT